AGCTCCATTTGATGGCCAGCGCTGCTCCCATTCAGAACAGGCCATACCGCTCACACAAAGTACCGGCCTGTACACGATGTCGCTCGCGCAAAATCCGATGTCATATCGATATTCCTGGAGAACCGTGTCTATCATGCCGAGAAAGACGACTCAAGTGTCAATATGTCGAAAGTTCAACAACCAGCTCTCCGACAGATGATGGCTCTGACCGGCGGCCTTCCAAACGACGGCGACACAGCGAGCCTGAAGATGGCCCTTCTCGACCTCGCTCAGCCCCCATCTTGCACAAAACCAACAACAACCCTTCTGCCTCTATTATGCTTGCGCCGCATTTTGCTGAAGACATTGACATCTTCAATCGGCATATCTCCCAGCATCGGAAAGCAGAGGGTGAAGTGGAATCTTCCAATTACCAGACGCTTCTACATGATGCGAAAGACCCAGTGGTGTACTTGACTGTCCCAAGGTTTCGCACAGGTCTACCACCCAACAGTGGTTGTGGAAGAGAGCAATTGGAGATTGTTGAACAGATCATGGGACCTTTTAAGCGCGAAGTGGTGGAGCTATATTTCAATCACATTCATTATCATTTCCCCATCCTGGATGAGGAGATGTGTGAGACGCTGCGCACGGGTCAATATGGCAAAGTACCAAACAACTTGATGTGTGTGATCTACGCACTTGCGTCGCCACACTGGAGTAAATCGGACACGTTAAAGATGCACCCCAAACCGAACTCATACTATGTCTGGAATAAGGGTATCTCGGCGACACTGGAAGACTTTCTCAGTCCTGGGATGTCTACGATACAAGCCGCTGTACTCGATCAGGTTGGACGGCCTTCTGTTTCCATCATCGGCAACATCACTCTCTGCGGTCGGACGGTTTCTTTGGCTCAGACATTCGGATTGCACAGGGATCCATCAAAGTGGAACATTACGGAGAATGAAAAGTCTGTTCGAATGCGACTCTGGTGGTGTGTCCTCATCACCGATCAGTGGTCTAGTGTCGCATATGGCGCACCGCCATATGTGTCAAAAGGCTACTACGACGTCCCGCGGCCGACTGTGACGTCGCTCATTGGAAGCAAGGCGACCTCTCAGCAGAAGCAAACTACTACCTGCTTTATATATCTATGCTCTCTGACGGAGCTGCTTGCGGAAATCTTGCCTTTCGTCTACCAGATCAACCCAGATCGAATACAGCTTGCACGGGAAACCGATCGTTTCAAGCAGGAACTGAATGAATTGGAAGGGCAGCTTCCTGAATGGCTACCTCTTCCGAATCGCCCAGGAACGCCTATGCTATGGCTCTCGTTCCTCTCAATCAGGCTGGTACTTGCCCGTGTCATCTTCCGCGCAGCAGTCCTCGACGGAGACGGTAGCATAGGACGGAACAGGATGGATCAGTTACGCATTGCCTCATCGGAAGTTCTTGACTTCATATTGACCATGGGCGAAACGCAATTTCTGGACTTTTGGTTGCCTTATGCGACTCATCTCTTGGTACATGCCATCACCGTCTCGCTTCGTTGCACCGTCGAAACTCAAGACCCCGAAATACGGAACACGTCTGTCGCGCGCCTTCAACGTGTAATCGCGCACATTCAGCATGCGCGGGACAACTATGATTGGGATCTTGCAAATTACGTTTTGGAAAGGTGCGCTGATCCGGTGTCGAAGATTGCATCTTTGAATGCGCGAGAGGTGCCGCAGCCGTCGGAAACGGAGCCCACCAGCATTGTTACTAATGGAAATGGGAGCGAAGTACCGGTAATGCCCAACTTTGACGACGCGAGCTTCTTACTATCGGACATATTGGACCCGAACGCTTTTGATTTTTCTTGGGATGCGTTATGGGACACACCATCTGGAATGACGAATTTTTCTCTCTGAGCCGTATCAGCGGCGTGTCATCTAGTCATGTACGATTTTGAGCCGTTGGCGTCTGAGTATAAACAAGTACTTTCCATCGCACGTGTGGCCAGCACAGGCCGTTTTTCTTTGCGCATTCATCCTGCTGCCCCGGGCGGAAAAGGAAGAATGAACTTACCCCGCACTAGCGTTATACTCTGCTGCCATCCTTCAGTAAAGGATTGCACTGCCACCACATCTGCTGAGAAGCATTCCATTGTACGTATATGTTGATCACAGACCGTGACCTCAAACTCACCTGGTAATGCTCTTAAGAGCAAACGCCCGCGCAGCTACGCACGATGGCCGTACAGAGACAACTGTGGAAGCGCCGCCACTAACTCTGAGACCATGCGACATTTGCAATCGCATCTTTGCAATTGTTAGCGCTCCTGTCCAAGAATCTACGGAAGAAATATTGGGAGACCTACAGGATCTCCTTCGAGGGGACTGTACGCATGTTGCTTTATTCAAGAGCGTTAGAAAAGCCTGGCCACAGGTGAAGCACCCTAAATATCGGGTTCAAGATCCCTTCATCTTGAATATCAAGGCGAGAAAATGGATGACAAATATCTCCTTCGAACCAATACTTCCATCTCGTAAAACGCGCCCTGACGATCAATTACGAAGCTGTTGGGAACTGGTATGTAGAGAAGATGTTTCTGGCCATCCTGGGACCTCTTTGTACGTCAACGAGCAATGGATCAATCTCGATGCTCTCCGACGTCGCATTTCGCTTTGCGATATGAATCATGGTGAAAGATGCGGAAGAGGTCACTTGTCCAGAAAAGAAGACATGATCAGACCACGATATCTTGTTGATACCCACCGTGCTTGCCTTGTACATGGAGAGGCGGTCCAGCTAGAATATGTTGCGCTGAGCTACCAATGGGGTCAAATCGACAGCCTTCGAAACAACACCCAGCTCTGTAAAGATCTCTTAGTTACAGGCTCACTTGCGACGGAAGAGGTTGCCTCAAGGATCCCACAAACGATTAGAGATGCGTTCGCAATGGTGAAACTTCTAAACTTCCGCTATCTATGGGTAGACTCGCTTTGTATTGTGAGTGCGCGACTCTCTCAACCTAAGCTATCCATGACACTGACCGCTTCTTGCGCGATAGGTTCAAGACGACCATCAGCAACTACGGTCTGAGCTGTCCCAAATGCATCGAATATACAACAGCGCTACTTTTACCATCGTCGCGAAAGACGGACTTGATGCAAATTATGGGCGTAAGTGCCACTATGCAACTGTATGCAAAATATAAACTAACTTCATATACCGACCTTTAGTGCGTGGTCTTAAAAGCACTACTGCACCCCGGCGCCACAAGCGGACATATGCCAGGTTATCAAACTCGGAGATCCTTGTTCAGACAAACTCCATGTCGCCCCCTGACAACCGTGTTTCTAGCAAGTATCAAGAAAGAGCATGGACATTTCAAGAGCAGCTTATGTCCAGGCGTGCGATTCATTTTGCGTCGGGAGCCATTGAATGGCAGTGTAACCACGGAAGCCAAGCAGAGTACGATCTCCTGTTACCTGATCACTTGTACAAGCGAAGTGACTTTCAGTTCCAGTCGATCACAAGAAATATGCCAACACCAATGGGACTCAATACAGCAATAGGACTTTATAACCAACGTGAGTTGAGTTTTCCAGAGGACGCATTTGCTGCGTTCGCTGGAGTGCAATCTATGCTGGAACGCAATCATGCGGACAGGTTCCTCTACGGACTGCCAGAATTCTGGTTTGACATAGCCTTGAACTGGACACCATCATCGCATGAAGGAGTCGTAAGACGTGTGCCTTCAGAGCAGCATCGATCGTTCCGGCAGCCCTATCAGCTACCTAGCTGGTCATGGCTTGGTTGGGCAGGACAGGTTGCATTTCCAGCGGACGCAGGACTTAGGATGAACGATCGCTATCCCAACCCTTGCTTCACAGTACCTGTTGCGACGTGGTATACGACGCCTATCCCATCATCCACTGACAGAAGAACAATCGGCTCGGGATGGTACAAGCACAGATTATTAGTGCGTGATACTTCAACCATACTTCCAAACGGCTGGGAGCGCATTTGGATGGACGATGAAGATCTGAAAAAGCTTGCATTAGGGAAAGGCATTGTACCGGACTGTTTATTGGAGCAGCAATACTACTTCAAACACGATAAGGCGAAACTCAAGTACCGGTATCCATTTCCCACCTCCTTGCCTTATCGAGGCGAACAAGAAGCACCGTCGTTACAAACAGCGTATCTCTTTGCCAGAACCGAGCGTGCTTACATGTGGGGCCAGACTATATCGCCTACGCGCGTACGGTACAAACGTGATGGGTACAGTTTTTCCATGTGGCTCATACGATCAAATGGTCAACATGTTGGCTACATACAGCTCCACAACAGCAAGGACATGGATGCATTTGGACCATCTGAAAGCCCGCGCTCAATGGAGCTTGTGGCAACTTGCAAAGGATACACCGCAAATGTATCAGTAGTCGGAGAAGACTGGAACGTGTTTCCAAACGAAGAAGGGGCTAATGAACAACGTCGTATAGGAAGGCATCTTTTCAGAACGCCCAAGGCATGCTACTTCGTACTGTGGATCGAATGGATCGATGGTGTTGCCTACCGAAAGGCAAGCGGCGCGGTTGCTGCAGAAGCCTGGGAGCAGGATAAAGAGGAGGAGCTTGTAGATCTTATCTTGGGGTGATAAACACATCGCGCTGCATACCCACCCTACACAAGAGAAAAACCGAACAGGTAGAGATAGTAAACTCTACTTTGCAGCTTATTTTAGGTCCTAACAAGAGAGATTTTAGAGATTAATAGTATTGTAGGCTTCCAGATTCTCTATGTATGTCTATATAGCTCTAATACGCTTTATTGTAGTAGGAAGAAGTACTCTGCTTAAATGAGACATTTAGTTTCTCTCTTTGGCGTAGTGTACTGTCGAACTGGGCACCTTACATTATTGATGGCGTCTCGTTGGAAAATGTCGCAACTGACACAACGTGTAGTAAGACAGATGGATGCACAACCAATTATAGCTACTATATGTCTTCATATCTAAGACCCCCATCTCACACACTATGCCTCCTCCTCCCCTTTCCACCCATTCCAGTCGCGAAAACAGGTGCATACCCCAGCCTCACCATCTCCAAACCTCCAGCATCAAGCCAAGCTACGATAGCAACATGAACGTCATCCAAGAAACTCCAGTCATCGGTACCTCGAATGCCGCTGTTGGTGTTGTCGCTCTCAAGAGGACTATCGTTGCTGTAAACTGAGCTGGGACTGGGTGGATGGATGCTCGTATGTGGATCTTCCTTCTCCTCATCGTCGCCCTTTGACGGCATGTCAGGAGCAATATCGATCCTATTGGATGCGTCGTCTATTTTTGCATATGCCGGAGTTGCTTCGGCACAGATAAGTTCTGGTATGAAGGATGTACTGCTACTATCCCTTGGCAACAACGAAGATGAAGACGATAGCATTACATCCTCTTCCTCAGTAGACGCGTCATCTTCCTTTTGAGATGGCGATGCAGCATCAGCATGGACTCTCTCAAACTTACAGGACCTACAGTTTGCTGTACAGTTTAGTGGCATGTTTCGTGGAGGGAATAACAAAGGTCGTTGTGGATTGACTATTCAATGTACGTCAAGGTGTAGTAGGATTGACTTATGTAGATGTGAATCTGGACAGTGCTGTTCATCTGGGGGAACAGAGTCAATACATTGTAGTTCTTATGTGTTGAGCATGGCTTGAGAAAGGTCATGTCTCTGACAAGGTCAGCTGGACGATTCAAGGGCAGTTGTCTTGCGTATGGTCTCGCACTTTGTTTTCAATGGGTGAGACGCGTGAACAAGACTGTCACTGCAGCAAAAGCTTGGTTTACTATGGTATCAATTCTATCTCTCGTTTAGCTACTATCTAACGCACTCGCTCGAACATAGAACCAGTCTGCTCCACCGTCCATCCCTCACCCTCCAATTCCGCCGTCCACCTATACACACCAATCTAGTCCATATCAACCAAAAATCACGCCTCGATGCATGTTCGCAAGATGTCCCTCATGCTGCAAGCGCTTAGCACACACGCCCAACGCTTACTCGCACTCCATTCGCCGTACGCTCGCTCGGGTATGTGGAACAGGATATATCTCAATAAAACTCCGGGGTATAGGATACTTTCTCCCAACCGCTAAAACGCCAGATAAAAAGCACAAAAAGTGATGAAGGATCCAGAGGTGAGATCAACATTCGATGATACATCGGGGAAAGAAGGGCTTCCTCGAAAACAACAAGGGTTTGGAGTTTGGGGTCTTGGTACTAAAAATCGATATTAAAGAACGGGGTTAGGACCAAGCCAGGATCCAGGAGTGAATTGAAGGTGATTGGGGAAAAGCAGGCACAAGTTTCGCTGACGTTGATGGCGTGAGGTTGCTGTTGTTCGCTGGAAGAGACAAGGTCGTTGTTCAGGCGTGTTCAGGTGTATCGAGAAGAGATATCCGCTTTGCGAGAGCCTATCTCCACACGGGTCTATCTCCCTGGCTCGATTGACGACCGCTAACACGGCTGGAAGTACGGCTTTCAGCCAAGCTATCAAGCCTGCTGCTGGTGCGCTTAGGAGGAGTTGTCTCTATGACCTTGGAAGCAGATGTAGTACGCGACTTAGGTGTAGGAAGTAGGCTGCTGCGACGGCTCGCTGTGACACTCGGAGGTCGTGATCCGCGACGGGCTGCGGGGCTTTCTTCCTTGGCAGGGCTCCTGCTATCCTCCGCTACTGTTGAGACGCGACGGCTGGATGCTGGCGTGCTTGATTTCACCTGAGGTGAAGAAAGGGGTGTAGAACGTATCGGCAACTTGCCCTTTGCAGGAGTAACAGGGGAGCTAGTTGAGCTCGCTAATGACCGAGTGAGGCGCTGCTGTCCTGGAGTAGTAGATGCAGAGCGACTAGATGTGGGCGGCGCTGTCGTCGACGAGCGGCTCAACGGGCTTCTCAGGGGTATGGATGAACGGCTCGCTGAGCCTTTTCGGGATCCATCCGGCGAGTCTGTGTCTTTCCGGAAAGGTGAGGGTGTAGTCAGAGACGATGGCTTAAAGTTGTGCCCAACGACAGTGTCCCGCATGTGGTAAAAGTCGGAGGTCCAGCGAGGTTTGGCAACAGGTCTTTCAGTCGGGGTCTTTGCACGTGCCTGGCTAGCTGCAGTACCGGACATGGCGCGAGAGGGTGTAAAGTCCAAGCGTGCCGAGGATGTAGATTTGCGGGAAGCGACACTTTCGCCGCCTAGAGGTATGCTCGAGTATCGCCGGTTAGAAGGTGCTGACAATTTCGAGCTCGCGACACTTGACTGACGAGATTTCTTGTTGGCGGGAGTAACAGCAGGCCCATGCCCACTACTCTTACGGCTCATGACGACACTCGAAGCAGGAGAAGTACCGGGTGTGTCGAGATTCGAGTGTGGAAGTGAGGCTTCTGTTAGTACTGTGGACACTGAGTCACGGAGTTTGCGTGATCTGGTAAAGTCGTCCAAGATGGCGTCCATGTTTCCAGTCACTTCCTCCAAGTCCTCCACCTTTGCGCGGACATCCTGTTGTATACGCAGGATCTCACCGTTGACAGTGGACCTATGCTTCATTTCAATGTCAATCAGCTCAAGTACACGCCTCATTGATGGAGGATAGTGGTCCCTCTTGTCTTTGTAGGTGGCAATACGCGTAGGCAGCTTCTCCTCGTCGCTGTCGTCGATGGCTTGCTGTAGCCTCTGGATGCTCTTCATGCACGACTCGTACATGGCGACAGCCTTGCTACCCGCTTGACGGAAGCTGTGCACCCATTTGTCCTCACCCAGCTCTTCTCGCAGCGCGTTTGCTTCGGCTTCGAGCTTCTCCTCTGATGCCTCCAGCTGTTCCTTTCTTCGTACGAGTTCGTCACACGCAGACGGGAAGATTGTGCTCGCGCGCATCTGGAAGGCGTTCAGTCGCATAGGGAGGAAATCAAGCGAAGCACGGAGCGGCTGCAGCTTCGCGAAAAGGGCTAGTAGGCGTGAATTTTCCTGTTCGATTTGCGGAATGGGCGAAGTGGGCGAGACGATGGAGGGGACAGGCGGCATACTAAGCCGCTTGCTGTTCAATATAGCCTGCTTCCGGGGGATCTCTTTAACAACGGTCTCGAGCTCAGAAATGTCGAACTTCTCTGGGGCTTCAGCGACTGAGTCGGAGATGACGCGATGTCTGCGCTCCTCCATCTCAAACACCAGACGACTGAGGTTCTCGACCTCAACGCCAATTTCGCCCAGTACGTTGTTCCACAGCTCTTCCCACTCCATGGCCACTTCGACCTGGTTCTTGATGCCCTTGAGCGTCTGCTTGATCTCACCCCAGTTCATCACGATGTCTTCCATTTGGCTCACAAGCGTGGTCTGGTCTTTGGTGGGTAGGAGCGCAATGTCGGGACGCGACTGCAGATCTTCGATGGCGCTGATGTAGACGTTGACGAGCCCCTCGAACTTGCCGATCGCGGCATCCACCTCCTCCAATCCTTCCCTTCCCGCAGCCGCGGCCCATTCTACGTCGTCTTCTGCGTCGAGGCCGCTCAGGACATCTTTCGTCTTGGAGACCCACAGTCGGATGTCGTTGGCCGCCTTGTGCAGTGCGCGTCCGGCCTGGACGGACGTGGGGAGGGCGGTGATTTCGGACGCGATGGTCGTGGGCGGAAGCTTCATGGAGGTCAACTGCTGGATCTGATTGGTGAAGCTGACTTTGGAGAGGGTGTAGATGGAGCCAGCGCGCGGGTAGTGGCGCTTCTGGAAGTAGGACTCGATGTCGATGCCATTGTTGTCGTCGAGTACGGAGGGCTCCTCTTCGGCGACTCGTGCGGGTGGTGAGGGAAGGGGTGGCGTGTCTTTGGGTGGG